ACATATAGTCTCGAACATACTTATTTTCCCAGTTGGTTTTTATTACATTTACGAACTGGATAAATAAATTGCGGTAGTTTTGTTCTAGCTATTGTCGACGATTTTATCAGGTGTTATTTAAATATGCATCTTGCAACGCCTTCCAATAGAAATATTTATCCTTATGATAGTACTGATTAGCATTTACGTACCTAATTCGTGATTAAAAACATTTCCTAGAACCAGTTATTGAAAGGTTATGTGCATGGGATTGTAATTGAGTTTTAAATATAATTTTATCTTTGATAAGCTGTAGGTACAATGTTGATTGTCGATTTGCCTTCGAAACTACCTTTGTAAGCAGCTTTAGCCTCGTGAGGAAGGACCCAAGAATTTGGTAAAATTTAGGAGCTACGGATAAACGAAGATAAACTGCCTTTCAAACTATAAAAAAAAAATAATATTATGTTCCATTAATTGTTGCAGAAATCTGACATAGCCAATCTAACCTACCTTATTTAATAATTTTAAATATATATTAACATTAACAAAGCAATATGATCAAATATGTAATCAAGGTGAGTGCTTAAGAGTTTACTTCATTTTACTTAATTGTAAAGATTTCCAAAAATTCAACTTCCAAAAACTTTTAAGCAAGAAATGTATGTCAAGGAAGAATTGTAATTTTATATATGAAATAAAATTATATTTGTGGAATTATATTGAAATGCATCGTTTTCGGCTAAAATAAAAATTCATATTTATTTTCTTTCTTTCAATTTTTTTTTTTTACTTTTAACAAACACTTTTTATTGCAAAAAACTATAAACCACATCAGTTTGTCACAAAATAATCAGATAGCCACAAAATAATCTCAATCGTATAAAATTATTTTCCTTTTATACTTTAAAATGGTTTTGTAACGAGCTGCCAATAACGTTAATTTTAAATAATTCAAAATCCAATGGATTTAACGAGACAAGCTTTGTCGTCAATCGTGGAAGGGCTAAAAAGGAAATACGACTTAAAACGTCAAGAAGGGCTGAAACATTATTCAGCAGTTATTGTGCACAACATTACGAGTCTTTTTATTGTGATTTTCAGAGCACAAAGTCGTCAGCAAACAAACGATGATTGCCAATTTCCTGGAAAATGGAAATCGTCTTTTCGCTTTTCCGGGCTGTTTTCTCAGGTTTACTGCTGTTTAAGCTTTATGAGAACGAATTTTCCTAAGTAGATATATTTTTGCTCAAATCGGTGTTTTTTGTAACTCATAACTCATTGTTGTGTGCACTTATAAGAATTGCACAACCTAGCGATTAATTTTCAGAATTTATACTGAATATTGAAAAATCATAAATTTTTTCATATTTAAAAAATCGACGCGGGGTCTCGAACAAACCTACCTATTACACCGTTTAGTTAGTTTAATTTATCCTAATCGTTACAATAGTTTACTATGTTCTAACCATCGTCGACCTATTTTATCTAATGCATTTGCACTATATACCTGATAAATTTGCAGGAGAAAAAGCTAAATTGAAATATTATCCTTATCTTCAAATAGTATTTTTAGTTTATTTATAATGCTATGTTTCCGCATGGAAACTAACTATTTACCTTGACAATGTAATTCTAATTGGGGAAATTGTACACTTAATTCTTACTTAAGGGTGCTGAGAATGTAAAGAAAGTGTGAGCGGCCTTCTGCAAGAGGAAACTTTTGTGTGCATTAATCCTTTATTGTTACTGCTTTAGAGTTTAAAAGTAAAAAAAAACATTTTCGCAAATGCGATACACCAAAGAACCGTTTTCTATAAACAAATGACGTTGACTCGAAAAATTGAATGAATTATAATTACCTACTATTAGGGAACGATTACGACCGTTTCATATTTGTGCATTCCAGGGCAAACATCAAGGCAACCATGAAATTTTGGTCTTAGTTGATTGCGTGCTTTGTGGCTGATAGAACTTTTGTAAGAATCCGAGTGTCCACTAATAATTGAAGGAGGACCACATCTATATCGTCCTATCACGGGCTATAAATCCAAGGAAAACGACTGTAGGTCGATTCTCAAGAAAAGGAAAGTTGACGCACTTCAATGATCCAAAACAATTCAGGTTTTCTGGCAATAACACTTATGCACACATTAAGAAGAAGTTCAACTTCCGGCAATAACATTAGATTGCAAACTCCCTTGAAACAGGCACATTCAGGAGGCTGTCAATAAACTACGAAATCCTTAAAGGTGTGTAGGACCCTAGATCAGGAACAACTTGGGGTTTTAACAAGGTATTTTCAGATGGATGCAAATGGCCAACCGGGTGTTGGTGAGAGAATGCTATTGGAGAGCGTTTCGCATCTGACATGGACGAAAAATGTAAAGCAGCAGGAAATGTAGCTTTGCGAGAACAACTTTCACGCAAAAATCCACGGAAAATGAGGTCATCTTGCTTTGGGTTCCCGCACACAGGAATTGAGGGTAGTGGAGAGCCAATAATTTGACTAAAAAGAGTACCAAAACTTCTATTACATAACAAATTATTGAATATATGAAACTCTTGAAGTTTAAATATCGAATTGGGCCAAAAACCGTCGAACTCATGTTATTGGTAGAGAATGTGGAAGCTCTTAGATATAGACGCACTAAATCATAATCGGAAAACCGTAGTTAGTTGTAAACTTCCAATGGACAACCAAGCAGTTAATCATTTATGGAAATTTTGCTAAAAAATCGTGATTGATAAAGAAAAAAGATAGCAAGTAAATCAGAACGTCCAAATAAAATTCATATGAAAAAAACCCAAACTCCGCTCCGCATATGTCAGACATGTAACAGTAACTTATTCTTAACTACTCCAGAGAAACATCAGCCGAAGCATTTAAAGCTAAGCTAATACTTAGAACAATAGAAATAAAAGTGCGTAATAATGCAATACGCGGAGTAACATTGAGAGATAGATAGGAAGTCACGACCGCAGAGAAACTTGAAGTACAGAATATTTATATGGGCTTGATTAAGAAGGTGTAATGCTGCAAATTCCATCTTGAAATAATGGATTCCTACTAAATAGCCAAATGGGGACGAACGGAAAAACTCAACACATTCCAACTACCCGGTAGGTTACCGCAATGATGGTCAGAGAGTCGTGGTCACAATCGGGCGTCTGGGTCACAAGAGGTTTCAATTTCCGTTTTGTCAAGGACACACTCTAATGAAAAATATGGAAAAGTTTATTAAAATTTTTATTTGAATATTATTAAGGATGTGGACACAAAATGGCGAGAAATTAGACATAGGTACAGTGAGTCTAAATGCTTATAGTTAGGTCTGGCTATGTAGGAGGGCATTTAATAAGACCCTTTCTTCCTATTCGCGAATTGGTAAGGTTTCATCCAAAAATTTACGTGTAGGAGGAGCATCATCTGGCTGCAAAATCAGTTTTGCCTCAAAAGAGTCTGCATCTAATGGATGTTGGAATAAACACACCAATCATTAATGAATGACTCAATTCAAACTGTTAAAAGAAAAATGGTAAATGGTTCTATCATTCTTCCGCAGACATTTATTTTTTGGGGATAATGGCTGTGAACCGACAATTTTGTCGGTTAACATAATCGTCCAAAGAGCCAGAATAGTTTTAACGGAGAAATAATTTCTATATTACGGTATAAGAGACGAAAGTCGAAGTTCCGCCACTGCTTCGACTTTCGTCTCGAGTACCGTATACTATTTTTCTTTATCCTCAAAAAATTTGAAAATCTTGCCGAACAGTCAACTGACAGTCAGTGACTGTTAAACTGTCAGCGTGCGTGGCCAAAGTTATAACTTTCCATACGGGATGAAGAAAATTTGTAATGGGTAAAAGTGATACTCTTGCCATCGAAAAGTGTGGCGAAAAAAACTTTTGTCACTGGAATAACTTTATAGGAATGGTATTTGCGTTTTCGAACTATTCGGTGAACAACAGATTTTCGCATGTGTAAATGGGCCCCCATCTACGAAAGAATGGTAAGTACATGGATTGTCTTCCAAAGAAAGTAAAACCGTCAATTTATTCATGTTCATCTCTAGCACCACGTACCTACTTACCAGCTATATAGGATATTACAGGACGATCATGGATTTCATGAAATAATTGAGATGCTTCTCTTGGGGTCTGTGTTCTATCATCAAACCCAACATTGCACAGAATTATATTTTTTTTTGTTTCGTTAACTTTACCATTTTGGAAACCGCCAAAGTAAAATTTTTAAAGTCAGAAATAAACTGACGTACGCATACGAATGTATCTATTGTTTACCCATCGCCCTGGATACGATTCATTTCTAAGGCATGTTGTTATTTTGATAAATATTTATCGAAATAACAGATAGAACAGAACAGATGGACCGATCAACACATTAATGTTAGGATTTTGAAAATTACAAACACTATGTATATCACAAAATATGTTGAGAAATGAGCCTACAGAAGTTTGAGCCCAATCTTAGGTTGCGCACAACATGATTAACCCTGTATTAGGCTACTAAAGAATCCGAAAAGAAAATTCCCGTTTGGACCATTTCCAGTTTCTATCAATTCAAAATTAATTTCAACGTCAACATTACTTGGTATTATTAACTACAAAAATCACGAATACCTTCCTGACATTACTTTATTTTTAAGTCTATAACATAAGACAATACTTACACACGTTTCAATACGTTACTCTTTCTTTAAAGAATTGAAAAAGCTGATACTAAACTAAACTAGAACTAAACAAAATAAGTCACAATGACATTTAATCAAAATAGGTGTCAAATTTTCCTAGTCAAAGTGTAGTTATAATTTAGCCGCCAGTGGGCGTTTGGAGTGTTGAACTCGCTAATTTTGTAAATTACAACATTAATTAACAAAATTCACTCATTGCTCATTCAATCATCGCCCGACGCTGCCGCGTCTTTAGCCTCATGGGTCACTCTCACGTGTCCCTTAAAACTGACAACGGTGCAACGGCGCGACGCCAAAGACGCCGGCTGGGGAATCGATAGACTGCCGTCGCGATGGCTGCGCGAGTTTCCGACGTAAATTTGAAACTACAATTCGCTTGTAGTAGATACTCATATTCTCGTCCATTTTACGGGCCTGTCCGATCTGTAGAGGGCAGATAATTTAATTTTCCGGGTGGAAAATCGGACATTTTGTCTAAACTATGGTTTAGTGCGTATTTCGGATATTAAAGTGTGGAGCAAGAATTCGCGAGTGCAAAAATGAACGAGAAACGATGGTTATGATCTGAGTGGAATGAGACTGAGATACGGGGGCCCAGGTGGCCCCCCGAGACTAGTGACTATTGTGACATTTTTCTTGTGTTTCTTCTCCATTTCTAGCTTGATTGGTTTGGCTGCTGCCGACAAGAGTAAATCATGTGAGTAGCTTCAACATTCAGATCGCGAATGTAGAATTTTAATTTAAAGAATATATCTATACGTGCAGCGGGCGCAAATATGAATAGCATATAACATTTGACATTGACAATTTGATTATTCAGATTTATTCCTATAATGATATACCTATGACATATTTATATACAAACACTTAATATGGAATACAAATACTTAGGTATAAACCTACTCAGTGTATGACTTCAAATTATATTTTTACCGACCTGAAATTAATGAACAATGCGACATCCCCTTAGGATGCATGTAGCTATATGTCTTATCCATCAAAGTAACTTTATTCTTGTAGACCGTGGGCCGATATCATACAGTAAAATGTGTATTTACTATGTAGATAAATTAGCTTGGCATGTAAAAAAACTCGATGAATAATAAACCAAAATTGATTTTTTATCGAAGATATGATTTGTTCCATGTGGTCTATACATATAAAATGAATTCGAATTTGAGTATATGTGCCTATCTTAATACGAGTACAAAGCCATGTTCTACTTGGAAAAATAAGAATTTTAATTCGGATTGGAAACAATATCTTTTCTTTTTAAATGAAAACTGGTAACAAGTGGGTTTATGCTCAATTTCAATATGTTCTTATTCCGTATGTAATTTGCAGAGGGCGCCATTTGACGTTTATGGCTTTCCAAACACCGTACTATATAGCTCTTTTATGGCCTCCATATATCATCAAAAAACCTGCCTGTTTCAATGGCAGATAGAGTGCACTAAAATTATCAATGTTGCCTCAAGAAACATGTTTGAAGCTGGTTGAAGTTTAAATTTGTTATTGGATGGACTCAAAAACTCTGTCATTGCATTTTAGTATATTCCAATAAATCGCAGTTCTTGTGCGGAGTGATGGATTAAAAATAACGAAAATCAGACAATTGAAATAATTTTTGATGTTTTGCAAAGCTACTATTATCTCGGCCCGATCACATAATTCTGAGGTCACATTTGTACATGTGAGATTTTCATATAAAAGCTGCCAATAAGACGTGGTTCTTCGTCCTAGTCTTGAGTTAAGTGGCTAAGGTGCAGCAAACCAGCAAAAAACCAAAACAGTAGGTGTCTTCTTTGTGAAACATGGGCGTGCGAAATATATTTTTAAAAACTTGCTTCAAGATAGCAACTATTGAAAAATCAAAATTTCCTATACGCGATTGGTTTAGAAGAAATATATGGCTCTGTAGTGAGATTTGATAGTAGTAAACATATAAAGTACAAAAGCAATAATCCTATTATTGCATTCAAACTAGTAGAAACTTTCGTTCGTATTTGAGAAAAATTTCATCAAACATTAGATATGAATATTTTATTATCACATTTTGTTTAATTATAAATGTTTGATATGAAGATCAACTTCTCTTAATATCTCGAATACCCGAACTTTGGCAAATGATAATTCAGAGAATATAGAGCAAAATATGGATTTGAGGAAGAAAATATTTTTGTACCAAAATAGTAATATTACGGCACAACACGGATTGCAATATTGCGATATGCAATAGATTATATTGCGATACCAATTTTACTGGAAATACTTTAGAGTTGTTTTTAAATGTAGTAACGTTTGTATTGCCTTTCTTCAATCGATCAATTTCGATCGAGTCTTTTATAGGTGATGACAATTTATTTTGAAATTATAATAATACAATTTTTCACGGTCGTTTTGAAACATCCGGCAGCTTTTGGTTTACTTCGATTGCATCGGCATTCATTCTGCGTCATAGTATGTCATATATGTATATGTATAGTGGTCATATGCACCCTATTTTCGCGACTGGAATAGTTAGCGTTTGGTTAATTATTATGTTGGGCGCTGTAATGTAATGTTAATTTCGGCTATTCTTTATTTTAATGTTAATTATTTTGAAGGCATTTGGTTTTTCTGTAAAATATTTTTCACTTATATAAACAACTGTTGTACAATTTATGTAATAAATATGTGCTTTTTATCACATTACTATTAATTTATTAATTGTAATATTATTATATACTTTCAAATTTTTACCATATACTTCTGTTTCGCTGTTGTAAAAGTAGCACTTTTATTTTGTGATGTCCCTGTACGTCTTTTGTAAAACTGTGATCATCACCTTGTTGGCCGATAGGCCCATTTTAAACCCACTGTTTGCATTGTTCTTAGGTTTTTCGTGTGTTCTGATTGATCCAGGTTTCGTCAACGGTTACGAAACATTGCCAAACATTAATTTCAAATGCTCACACGGGAGTGCTTATGGTCGAGTGTCAGCAATCGCGGCTTTCGTATTGCGGATAGCTCTTTCATATGTAAATATTCATGTAAAATGTGATATACTCTCTCAGTTGAGATGCCTACAGCTTCAGCCACCTCTCGCACTTTTATTCTCCAATTGTCCAGTATGGTTCCATGGATTTTATCGACCATTTCTGGCGTAACAAACTCTTTTGGACGACCTGAACGTTATGCGTCATTTGTGCTGGTATGACCACAACGAAACTCAGGAAATCAATTCTTAACCATTGAGATTGATGATGCAGAGTCCCCATAGTATTTATCAAGCTTTTTTTTCGTTTTTTTGATGGTATTTTTTTGGTAAAAGATAATGCTTGATCAGGACTCGAAATTCACTTTTTTCCCATTAGCGTCGAAATTGACAAAGTCATCTTAGTCGTCTCCTTTCAATGACTATTAAACACGAACTAAATGACGTAGCGCAGGAGTATTGAATTTAAAGTTACTGGGAGGGAAATTCAAAAAGTCACTGACTTATCAAACGACCCTAGTAGATTGTCGAGTAATCACGTCGAAATTACTTTTTGAAATTGGTGGACGTTCTTTCACGTGATTATGACACGTTCGGCGGTGGCTGCGGTAAAAATGGATATATCTGCTTTAAGCCTTCAGCAACAACGCTACACGTAAAAACTGATGATGGTGGAAAAATACACCGAAACGTATTTTAATTGATAAATAAAGACAATAAATGGCTGAAACCCAGGAATTGATTTTGATTTGGAAAACGCTTTTACGTCGATTGTTAAGTGCAGCATAAAATAGCTCACTACTCGCTTTTCAACTAGGGTATAATATTACCTATGCGAATTTCTCTAAACAAGAAACTTTTGAACGACCAATTAAATAGAAAATTAATAGGACACAAGAGAAAAAAATCCTTTAAAAAGAATGTTCAGTTCAAGAGACTGGATGTTTATTCGCTAAACTCCAAAAGATTATCACATTAAAAATGTGACTTTTGCTTTCTCGTTGAAAAATTTCAGTTAAGATTCTGGAAATCACACAGGAAATTCACATAATGTTCTATTTCGGCAAATGATAAATGTTATTAAACATTTTCATAGTAGCACTAATCTTGAATACATTTCAAATGCTATGTTAGCATATACAGAAGTACGGAACAGCCATTCTTAAAACATTCTCTAAGAATTCACAATCTGATTTGATAATATTGACTGAAAAATAGCGAGAATCTGCTTTTTAAAAAGAATCATGTAGATGTTTCTTCTAGTTGCAACTAGAAACGAACATCACTAAAAAATAAAGATTTTTTAGAAAATTCGTTACTTCTCATATGATATTTCAGTGTACATCAACACATATCTATTTTTTGAAATTTAAAACAAAAAACAATTGAAATGAAAAATTTAATAACAAGCAAATACCAGGTGGAAAATGTTGTTGAGGTTACAACTTTAAGAAAAATATTCATTTAAACACGAAAACGCTGGAAATCGTGAAATGGGGATGCAGTTTAAGGGTTGAAACCGGCTTTTGGCAATTTACGACAAAATATAGATTATAAAAAATTGTAAT